TTTTCGGTCGTCGTCGTGTGTTGGTGGGTGTGGTGGTGCAGAGGGGTGCCCGGTCAAAGGTTATCGCGTGGTGGCTCGAGCGATAAAGTCGCTCATCTGGCCGATAACGCGCAAAGTAGACTGTTTTTGCTGCCCGTCTCGGTATTGAGGTGCTGTGAGACCCGAGGGTCAAAGGGAATGCCATGTAAATGGATGGTCGAGGTAGTGGTGCAGTGGTGCTGTGGTACCGCCCAGGTAGGCATAGGCAAGGTGGAGGAGGAGCAAGGGCCTTGGCTCGAGAGGTGTCATGAAAGAGGCAAAAGTGCTTTTGGTGGGGAGACGATGGAGGAGACCCGTCTCAGAACGGACTAGCGGACGTTGACAGGCATGGACAGTGAAGTCTCCTGCACCATGCTGCAGCGCATCGAGACGTGGAGCGACATTTCCATCTGACGACCCAAATAGGCGGGAGCCCCCCGGCGTTGGGAGCGCCTCAGGGGACGCGGGATGCTCCTGTCTCCTGTCCCCTGTTTTAGGTGCACAATAGCGGGCAGGTGGCTATATGTACTATGTACCCGCCTCCCTAACAAGGGCTGTCCTCGGTACCTACCTATGCAGCCAGTGCTTCCATGGTACATAGTACGCACGACATCTGGATGATAATTTGGCCTGTGGAACCCTCCCCTGACTCGCTGGCCTCAACTTGCAGGTACCTACCTAGGTACCTAGCTAAGGTACCTAGCTCTCTGCCACTCAACCTCCCTACCTACCACGACAAGCCTCACATCAAGACATCAAGCATTCCGGCCACAACCGCACGAACCACCTGCCTGACGCTGTCGACTCTCCTTCCGCTCCGTTCACTACATTGCACCACATTGGCCTCACCACCACTGCAGCTCTTGCTCCAGTACCGCGCCACGCAGCCGCCGCGACCTACCGACGATGCCACGGCAATAATACAGCCTGCCTGGTACAATGCCTCAGGCTCGAACCTATGGAGCTCCCACTGGCGAGGACCATGCCTCTTCCGAAGAAGATCTCGGCCTCCTCGCCGACGATCCCCTTGCCGATACCAACGCCAAGTCTCCGCGCACGCCAAACCGCGTCCGCTTCAACCTGACACCCTCCATACGCGAAGCGCCCGCCCCAAGCTCGAGCAATGGCGCAAGCAGTTTCGATGTGGAGGAACCCCGTGGCTACTTCGACCAACACGATGACGGCGACGACGACGACCGCCACGGCGACCACCAGCATCACCCCCTCCTGACCGACATCGAGGCGCCCTCTGTCGCCCTCGCCAACAGTCCCTGGGCCGAAGACGAAGATGTCCACGACTGGGCCGAGCAGCAGCGCCAGCGGCCCAAATCCGGGCTGCGCATGGCCTTTATGAACATGGCAAACTCCATCATCGGCGCCGGCATCATCGGCCAGCCCTACGCCTTCAAACAGGCCGGCCTGCTGGCGGGCGTCGTGCTGCTCGTCGGCCTGACCTTTGTCGTCGACTGGACCATCTGCCTCATCGTCATCAACAGCAAGCTCAGTGGCAGCGACAGCTTCCAGGGCACGGTTCAGCACTGCTTTGGCAGGCCGGGCCTCATCGCCATCTCCGTGGCACAGTGGGCATTTGCCTTTGGCGGCATGGTGGCTTTTGGTGTCATTGTCGGCGACTCTATACCTCATGTCTTCTTGGCCATCTGGCCCGATCTGCGGGACATGCCGGTCCTATGGCTTTTGGCGAACCGTCAATTCGTCATTGCCGTCTTCGTCATGGGCGTCAGTTTTCCACTGACGCTGTACCGAGACATCTCCAAGGTGCCCATGTTCCTTACCCCTCCTACCTCCAACACCAGCAAGACGTGTTGCTAACCATGAGCAGCTGGCCAAGGCGAGCACGTTGGCCCTCATCAGTATGGGCGTCATTGTGGTGACGGTCGTCGTCCAGGGCCTGCTGACCCCCAGATCTGAGCGGGGCTCCTTCACGCCAGCACTCCTGACCATCAACGGTGGCATTTTCGAGGCCATTGGCGTCATCTCTTTTGGTAGACACCGTCAGCCGCCGATCGTCCGCACAGCACAGCTAACGAGAAACAGCCTTTGTGTGCCACCACAACTCGCTCCTCATCTACGGCTCCCTTAAGACGCCCACCATTGACCGCTTCTCCCGCGTCACCCACTACTCGACCGGCATCTCCATGGTCTTCTGTCTCCTCATGGCGCTCGCCGGCTTCCTGACGTTTGGCGACAAGACGCTGGGTAACGTTCTCAATAATTTCCCCGCCGATAACGTCATGGTGACGATTGCTCGTCTCTGTTTCGGCCTCAACATGCTTACGACGCTGCCCCTCGAGGCGTTTGTCTGCCGCGAGGTCATGTTCAACTACTTTTATCCCGGCGAGCCCTTCAATCTGAAGCTGCACCTCATCTTCAGCACGGCGCTCGTGGGATCGGCTACTGTCATCAGCCTCATGACGTGTGATGTTGGCGTTGTCTTCGAGCTCGTCGGCGCCACCAGCGCGTGCGCCATGGCATATATCCTGCCGCCGTTGTGCTACATCAAGCTGACGACGCGCTCCTGGCGCACGTACATGGCCATGGCCATTGTTGTTTTTGGCACCATTGTCATGTGTATTAGTCTGGTACAGGCCGTCGCCAAGATGGTTAGCAGTGAGTAGCATGTTTGGCTTGGTTGTGTCTGTTTGAGATTGCTAACCCTTCATCTAAAGACGAGAGCGGCACGGCGCAGTGCATGTGAAATGGCAGTGTACGATTGAACGAACTGAAAAGAGATGAGAACCTTGATTGGGACTAGAGCGGGCTGTACCAATAAAGTCAATGGTCAGGTACCCATTAACTAGACGTAAATGACTTGTAAGTCGCATCCAATGCACTGCGCAAGGGAGCAGTGTAACATCCATTATCCTTTTTTCTTCCCACCCGGCCTGTTTCACCATTGCACAATTCCCACGTTCGCACTTCCTCGAGAGTCGCCGTCAATTTGACGAAGGTCCCACTTTGACTTTAAAAAGTCATCATCCTTTGAGGGGGGGGTTGGGGTTGGGGTTTACGCTAATCGTCGGTATCGTTGAGCAAGGTACCTTGAACATGTGGGACTATATGAACCTTCAGGGCGCAGTCTAGTCATGACGGGTGTCCGGTTTCAAATTACGGTAGGGAACTAAAAGCATACAGAATCTGCGTGTTGCTGGGTGGTATAGCTTGCCGACGCTGAACTTTACCCTGGAAAAGTAACATCTAGTTTCGACAGCATCCACCCAGAAGCTTACATCTCCCTCCGCCCTCCTCCCCTTTGTTTACCCCTAAGCCTGTCAATCTTCGGTGTTCTCATTCCCTCTACCGCATAACGAATCAAGCGCCCTGGTGTTGATAAAGAGTACTTTTCTGCACCTTAATGAGAGTAACAGTTGGCTCCGCCAAGGTACCATGTATGCCCCTGAGTTCGGTCTGTGGATCTCATGCTCCAGGCAACTAATATCTAGAGGCATGCACAAGGGGTAACAACCTTGAATTGAAGGCTAATTTGAGTACTTTAGGTTTACGATACAGCGTGAGTGCCCACCAGACACTATGAACAGCCTTTTAGTGTAGAAATGGTTGTACAAAGACAACAAAGACTTGGGTCTTACTTTCGTCTTGGGTGACCAGGCCTCCTAGGTGAAGGAGAATAACTTTGACCGAGAAGGCCCAGACCCAGAAAACGGGACTCTGAACATTTCTGAAGCAGGGATGTGATGATAAAATCCTCGGAACCCTCCGTTGAGGATCAGACTGGAATGATCAAGGTCTTCTCTTCTTCGATGCAAGACGTCCATCTACTTTGCCTACAGTACCTACCTCAGTCATTACCTTCCAAAAACTAACAATGAAATCAACCCTTCAAACGGCGGCACTCGCCCTCGGTAAGTGAACATGCCACACCTCCATCGCTCTGGTGCGTACGTTAGTAACCGTCATAGCGTGCGCTCCTCTCACGTGTGCCCTGAACGTCACCATACTTGCGGATACCAACCGGGATGGAATCATCGATGCCAAGACGGATGCCGAAAAGAAAGCCGAGTGGAGTGAGACGAGAGGTGCTCTTTTCTTGCCCAACATCGGAGACGCGGATGATCATTGCCACGAAAAGATGTTCGACATATTTTCAAACCTCAATCATAGCCTCGATTTGTCGGTCAACACCGACATCCTGGGCAACGCGATCGAGTCTTGCAACGACGCTTCAGACGATACTCAACGCAACCCACAATACCTGGCTCCCATCCTGGTCCTCGCGAACTGCAAGGTCAGCCCCAGTGCAACAGGCTCTGTCCACGTGACGAACGACCTGGCCGCCAAGAAGGTCCGCATCTTCCAAAAGGATGGCGACGCCTGGAAATACATTGCAGCAAATCACATATTCACGGCACAGGAGCTCAGGAAAGGCTTGTCCCTTGGTATTGACGCGCGAGATGTCCGACGTCCTGGCGGCTGGGATGGCCACTGCCGTCGTCCATATGACCGTGACTGACGGGGCCCGAGGAGGCCACGGATGCTGTCGCTTTCCGCGTGGCCCCAGTTCTGACACACCACCACGCCCAAGACGTGGAGCAGTTCATATCAACAGCCGGTGATGACGATGACGTTGACGGCGCCCAGGCCTACTTTGTAAAACAACTTCAGAAGCACGTTGCCGACGCAGGGTTCAGTGAACCCGTCACCCTCATGTCCAACAGCGATGAAGTCACGACGCAGGACTACTTTGAGTCGGGGTACGCCAGTATCCCTGGCCCTCACGGTCCCGTCGTGATCCGCATCGTGATCCGGTCCGCCCAGTGGCAACTCTTCCCTGGTGTCGAGGCAATCGATCGCCTGCGATCAGACACCGTGGGCGCCGTGCAGCAACCTTTGTTGGCGTCGGACAGCCCCACTGACTCGTTGGGGAACCTCGAGACCATCCCCCCCTACACGCACAACGGCAAGTCGTACCCCGCCGGCCGCATCGTCATGGGCGCCGTGAAAGGCGTCAAGCCGCTCATCTTTCCCTTCCTCGAAGCGCAGGAGTTCCAGGTGCCCCTCCTGCTCGACGTGTCTTGGTTGGCTCCCGTCCAAATCGACAAGTTCCTCCACTTCCTGCCGGCGGACAACGAGCGCGGCTGGGTTCTCATGATCAACGATCCCAACGCCGGCCTCGAGCTCCTCGCCCGCGCCTCACGCGACGGCCACGGCGGGCTGCCCGCCGTGTCCCGACCAGTACTGCCCACCACCTTCGGCTGCCAGGTCATTGAGACGGTCGACAAGGTGTTGGGCTTGGCCGAGTTGGAGATCATCACACGCAACGTGACGGTCCGCATCGAGGACAACATCGCGATCCTCAAGCGCGAGACGGGCCTCTCGGACGACGAAATCTTCCGCGTGCCCGCCCTGTTCTACCCGGTCGATCGCCCGGTCTTCACCTGCGATGAGGAGGCAGAAAACACCGCGCCCGCCGTGAGCGACAGCAAGTCGCTCAAAGCAGGCCCAGCGGGGCGCGCCGGGTCCATCATTGATGCGTCCCTGCCGCTGCGGAAAAAGGGAAAAAGGAATTCGTACGCAGACAGGAGAACTTCGGCAAAAGGGGTCTGGACGGTATTACCCGAATGCCATCAACAACATCGTGCTGACGGCGAATCACACGGTCCTGGCGCCCAATCCGTTCGGTCCTGTCATTGATGGCGTGGACATAATCGCCGAGGCCATCACGGCAGTGTACGCAAGGGCCAACTTCAAGGTGACGTACTTAGACGACTGGTTCTCTCATTATATCAACGGCGCGGACGTGCACGACGGCACCAACGTGTGGCGTGACGCCAGCATGCCTTGGTGGGGATAGATAGGGGGCTTGACGAGGCGAGGTGCGGGATGTGCCATTCCTACCTAGGTACGTTGCGGCAAGCGGGCCTGACTCTGTGATGTTTCGTAGGCTCAGCCGAGGGGAGGGGGGGCATGGGGAGAGGAGGGGTTTTTTTTTTTTTTTTTTCTTCCAAAGTCAGTCGATAGAGATCAATACAACTTGCTGACACACGACGGAGCAAAAGCGCGAGACATGGTTTGCTCGCCTTGTGCATCTCGACCACGTTGTGGCTTGGCGGCGAGTGCAGAGATGGGCCGTGTCTCATGCTTGTTTTGGCTGACACGGAGAGTGTGTGTGTGTGTGATAGCTAGACCACGTCTGAGATGCACTTTCGATTCAAAGATGACCGTCAACAGAGTAGTGTGCTGACCCAGCAGTATGTTGGATGACACTGAAGAAGAAGAGGCTTATTTGTTCTGGCCCGGACAGTTGGCTAGGCAAAATGTCTGAGGAGCTGTCATTTCCTGTCACTCTGCGACGAAGGGCCCCTACCTAAGTTTCTTGTGACACGAGGAAGATGCCCGCAAGACAGCGAGCTTCATAACGTATCCTTACCTATGTAGCATATCTGTATGTGCCTGTCGGGTATATTTGCTTGGTTTCCGCCCGTCGCCTCAGCCAACAGAGAACATTCCAAATGACATGCTCATGCCACCAAGGCGGTCAATACCAAGCTAAGCAGCGCACTACCCGAGAAAGCGTTCCGACGAGATCCATAACCACCGCCAACCCCTCCCTCCCAGATGGAACCCAGCATATCCTCGCGAGGTGGGATCCAGACTTTGCGTCCGGCCAGAGTTGGTACCAAAACTTGTCCTCCTGACCTTCGCAGCCGACGCTATTGGACCACCGCATATCAATCACGTGATACAGCTTACCTCCGCGCGACCCTTTATCTACTCCTCGCGAGAAACGCATCAAACCTTCCTCACGCGGGGTAAAGCCTGTTCTCCTGTATTCTTTCAACTTCATACCCTACAAGTACGCCTCTCTTCCTGCTTCTAATCTCCTCCTGCTGCCGTGTTGCCACCACTGACATCCACACCAAGCCCTCCAAGCCCGTTTGAGAAAAGAAAGCACTCGTCCAAAATGTACCCCGTCAACGCCTCCCACAGCTCCTGCCCCAAGTGCAGCGCCGCCATGTCGAGCGACAGCAAGACCTGCTCTTCCTGCGGTGCCGTGAGTGATAATACCTTCCCCCGTCTCATTTCGAACCCTGCCCGACAGGAATCATTCTGATGGTCGAATCTAGTCGTGCCCTGTCTAATACTTTGGGGACAGCTTGAGCTTTTGGATCCAGGGGATGTTAGGAGCACCATGTACGAGTGAGGCAAGGTGGGCGGGTTTGGCGTTGAGGCGGTGGCGTTGACGACGACGACGACGACGATGATGATGATGATGATGACACGGTGCTCTTGAGAGTGACGATGATGCTATGAAAGGCCAGCGGTTGGGGCCGAACTTTTCGACGAGACCCAAATTGGACCACCCGTTCGTTCTGCCTGCCTTTGCCTGCCACTGCTCCCTACCGTACGTGTTGTTGCCTTGGGCGAGGAAAGTGAGATGGCTGTCACTTATGTGGCAGAGCCCGGTACTGAAGCGCCCGAGGAATCCTCATTGCCGACCAGGGCGCGGCGCGTTCGTGATTTGCATGCCTCGCTCGACTCTCCCAATCGTCCTTCATGTAATGGCAACGGTCATCGCCATGCAAACCACACGATGGCGAGACGTGGACGTTGACTATGCGCGTCGTGAAGGGCAGCAATATCAGACATGTAATTCGAGCACACCAAATATCACAGCCCCTAGAGCGCACCCATCTCTTGCCTGGTCTAGGTCGCGAGCCCAGCGGGAACACATTGAGAAACGGTAGAATAGAGGAAAGAAAAAGTGTAAAAGGAAAACAAGACGAGAGCCAAATGACGCAAAGCAAACCGCAGGTATGATATAGCCAGCCCCTCCAGGAACAGACGGCCGCATAGTCGACCGAAGGTCCAACAAAACTACAAGACCAAAACTACCACCCACACAACCCAGTGCCAGTGCCGTCCGTGTATCTCTCCCTTGCTACCCTGCGAGCCCTGCCGCCCCAATCGGCCTCAAACGTGCAAGCGTCGGTGAGGCCCATGTGCCACGTCCCATCAAGATACGAAGCACCCTCACGCAAGTCCTGCAAGTCCATCCGAGCGGGCTGCCGAGCACGCCTGCCTCTTTCCCCAGCTG